AAAAAATTAGAGAGGGGTGATGAGAGTGGATTTTTTTGGTTGATCGGCTGAAAATCACCAGCTGCGTGAGAGGGTAAAAAAGTAGGAAAGTAGAAGGTACAGAGAGAGGTGTGGAGACTAGACGTCGCTGTACAGGCAGGGGCAGAGGTAGAAGTAGGCATGCAGACAGAGGTCTTACCTGATCCTGCAGGATCAGGTAAGTGACATCAGGAAGCGTCTTGAGGATTCGAAAGTACAAGGTCGTCAGCTTGTGGCCGTCTGCACCGAACGAGTTGAAACCATCATGAGTTGGTGGACCAGCGACTGCAGCCAATCAGAGAGGAAAACAAAGCAGGCTTCTGGTGCAGCTTCAAACCCGGGGCAAAGAAAGTGGCTTCGGCAGGTTTGTGGGCTGCGCTTGCTGTGGCTCTTGGTTAAGGCATATTTTCTCCCACTCAGACTGTATTAGTGAGTCCTAAAGCACTTATTCATACAGTCTCTGGACTCTGGACACTCCTTGAATAAAACCAGGCCTGTTGTAAGCTGCTGAGAAATGAATACAAATGAGAAAATGGACAATAATATCGTCCTCTCGACATGGACAAAATTTGGACCAACTTGGGTCGCTGAATGGTTCAAACTGGTCGATGGAAACCGCCTAAAAAAATCTGCCTGAAGAAACAGTTGATGCAGAACGTTTTTTCAAAGCAACATGTGAAAAAAAAATAAAAAAAATACTAATGAAGTTTGGAATTTTTTTTTTTTTCACTTTTCAATGCGCTGAAAAACGCCTGCAAGTCCTAAGTGGGTCTAAACAGTTGTGGTTTTGTGCTTTTGAATTTTTATTTCTCTTGCTTTTTTCTATCTGAGATGTTGCTGCAGTACAGTGTTCATGGTTTTACACAACAGAAAGCAGAGTGTCAGTGATTTTCCGAATAGTCCAGTGAGAACAGGGCCTGCCCCGTGCAGACCGTGTGCTGCAGGCTTCAGATCTCTTCTCTCTGAAAACTCAAACGCAGGTCATCCTTGTAGTTAACCTCAGAAATAAGAACCCACTGCCCCTGTTTTCACTGAGGGGAGCAGACGTGGGTCCTTCAGCCTCCTCACGTTTGCATGAAAGTGTGAGAGTTTAAACTAAATCATGTGTTCATTATGAAAGAGTAAAAACGATGATTCAGGTGATCTCGACATTCAACATTTACAGACATCGGTCATCCGCCTCTAATGGACCAATGGCCTTAGGTGTTTTTATCATTGCATTTCTTCTGTTTGAACTGTTTGATTCCCTGATCTGTGTAACTACTGTTATGATTAAGGGCTGTACAGAAATAAATGGAATTGAAAATCTCTTAGTGCAAGAACTTTATAAAAGGGTTTCAGACGGCCTCTCTGTCTCTTTACTGAGGATGAAGACACATTTTAAGTATCTTTGTAATACAGACTTAAACAATTCTTCGTACATCTATTGTACATCTAATTTAAACCTAAAATGCATGAGCAAGTACCATACTCTGTTTTTTTGGGTAAAATAATTGTGAAACAGATAATTCTAAATGTTGATTCTCAGTTCATATATTTGCTTTTCAACACTGAATGAGTTAATAATTGTATGTTTTTGTCAAACGTAGTTTTACTAGATTAGTTTCGTATCATAAAAGGACAATATACACTTATAACTCAGGACTTAGAAAAAGCTGCGTGTCCGTCTGCCGCCATCTAGTGGCAGGTTCTGGAACTGCAGTTTCTGGACTACATTCCCACTCGCTCCTCCTGATATTCTGTCAATATGGTACAACCAAAATCTCTAAAACTGATCAACGGATTGGTAAAAGTTCTCTCATAGCTAACTATCATTAAGCATTTCATAAACCCGGGATTATTTAGGCAAAAACATGTATTTAGAAATGTGAAAGATGCACTACAAACTTATTCCCATTGAAAATTCTGGCTGGAGTGTTTTCTGTGCCACTAATAACATTAGCCGCGACTTTGCCAGCGTCCATGTTCAGACGTTTGTCATTAACAACTTTAATTAGAGCGGTCTCTGTGCTATGGTGTGGTCCAAATCCTGATAGGATTATATCAAATGTGTTGATTAATAATGAAAATCTCATCAGTTGTTGATAGACAACTTTTTCCAGAACCGTACTCACAAAAGGAAGATTTGAGATGGGCCGATAATTATTTAATACTGTGGCATCAAGGTTACCTTTTTAATGACGGGCTTGATGACCGCAGTTTTAGGGCTCTTTGGGAATGTTCCGGACACTAGTAATGAATATGAAGCTGAAGCGGATATTCAGACTGAAAGACCGAGTGCATATTCTCCCTTCCAAGCCTGCAAATCACACAGCTCTGTCAGCCCCGAGCCTCAGCCAATCACACAGCTCTGTCAGCCCCGAGCCTCAGCCAATCACACAGCTCTGTCAGCCCCGAGCCTCAGCCAATCACACAGCTCTGCCAGCCCCGAGCCTCAGCCAATCACACAGCTCTGTCAGCCCCGAGCCTCAGCCATTCACACAGCTCTGCCAGCCCCGAGCCTCAGCCAATCACACAGCTCTGTCAGCCCCGAGCCTCAGCCAATCACACAGCTCTGTCAGCCCCGAGCCTCAGCCAATCACACAGCTCTGCCAGCCCCGAGCCTCAGCCAATCACACAGCCCGGCCAGCCTCTTGCCAACCCTCTCACAGCAAAGCGGGCAGTTTAAAAGGCAGCCAGCTTCCTGAGGCTCTTAAACACCCACCACCTCCCCAGCACCCCCTCTGGCTCCTGCTCTGGCTCCTGCTCTGGCTCCTGCTCTGGCTCCTGCTCTGGCTCCTGCTCTGGCTCCTGCTCTGGCTCCTGCTCTGGCTCTGGCTCTAGGCTCCTGCTCTGGCTCCTGCTCTGGCTCCTGCTCTGGCTCCTGCTCTGGCTCTGACTCTAGGCTCCTGCTCTGGCTCCTGCTCTGGCTCCTGCTCTAGGCTCCTGCTCTAGGCTCCTGCTCTAGGCTCCTGCTCTGGCTCTGGCTCTAGGCTCCTGCTCTGGCTCTGGCTCTAGGCTCCTGCTCTGGCTCCTGCTCTGGCTCCTGCTCCGCCTACGCCCCATTCACACCATACTTAGCCACCACTAGTGATTGACCCCGGGGGATCTGAGATCATCTTCACCTGCAATCCATCTCATCGCTGCAAGTGTCACTGCCGGGGTCAATGCGCCAAACAAATAAATCATTTTATTGTATTAATTGTGTCTTTGGTCTCTTCAGATTGAATTACGGTTCTGGTGATGGATGGTAACAGCCTGCTCACTACAGATTTTAGAAATGTAGTGGGTCGAAAGTCAACGCTGCTGGTTGATGAACTCAATTTGAAAATAATATCATGGTTCATGTTTTCACTATAGTGAAAATGAGTACAATTCCAAATGCGTGGTGTCTGGGGATTCACTGTTTGTAATGTGGGCTGAATAGAATTTTAGATACTTTGAACCTTTTCTTTGAAATATTGTTAACTCATTGCATTTCAATTTTGTGTTAAATTCTAATGACAGATGAGCAGGAGAATTACATTGTTCACTGTATATATGTGTGCAAATACTGCATTTAAGATTGCATTGGTTTTATTCTTCACTCTGGAATTGCAATAACATATTAAAATGTATTCAGTAATTCTGGTGATTATTGGTGCTCTTCACTTCATGACTGTGTCTACTTGATATTGGTTGTAGTCTAAAAATTAGTTTGAAAATTCCTAAACCGTATATTAGGCAGATATGGTGTCATGTGGTGTGATGGAGGACTCAAAATGCAGGAATGAAAATATATAAATGATTTAATAATGAAAAAACTAAAATCCAAAAACTGACGAAACACATCAGGGCGGGGCAGACAATCAAGACAGGGGCAAACAGGACTGGAAGTACAACTAAAACCAAACCAGAGAACAATGTCAAAATAAAACTAAAATACAAAAATAAAACCCACACCATGACATATGGGGCATTTAAGACAGATAGTTGTAGGTTTTCAAAAAATTCCTATTCTGTGGAAGATAAATGACTCAATGTTTGAGTGACCTCAAGCACCAGTTTAGACCATGCACGTTTGTGTCACATTGTGTGCACGTTTTGCACACAATGTGACTATTGAGCCAATATTCTCCATTATAAGCTTAATATTTTGGGCACCATCTTTTGGGGCCTAAGTATTTGTACTGATTTGATAAATAATAGTACTTCGTGCTAAAATGCCAAATTTTCACCCCGAACTTCAACCATTTCTCACTACAGGGATTTTTCTTGAGGAACGTTTTCAGAGATATCTATAACTTTTTTTTCTCATAGTTACCACTGGAAAGTTTTACCCTGAATATTGGAACGGACTTGTTTTTCTAGGATTTGTTTAGCTGACGACACATGTCCCGATATTATTATAGATCAGGGGTCTCCAACCTTTTCCAATCAGAGAGCTACTTTTATACAACAGAAGAGGCAGAGAGCAATTTCTTTTTGCAGTCATAATAAAAATGTATGTAAAAATAACGACAAGAGAGGACACACATGAAGAACACGCGTAAAAAATACTGTATTTACTGTATAACCCTATTTTTGTTACTTATAATGGATATGTAATGACTCAAACTGGATTCATTAAAGATCATTTGTTAAATTCTATTTCCTTTGGCGAGCTACCTGAAAGGGGCTGGCGAGCTACCAGTAGCTCCCGAGCCACAGGTTGGAGACCCCTGTTATAGATCCTCCCTGATCTGACCGCACTTTACCCGGGTCTAGTGTTCTCCGGCCCACACTCCCGGACAGTAGGGGGCGGACATGCAAGTAAAAGTTTGATACCGCTCAAAACCAACCCACGAAGAAGAAGAGTTCGTGAGACTTCCGGGCTGTAACTTTCCGAGTTCGCTCTTCCCTCCGTTCGGCTCTGCGCTTTTCCCCTGGGCTGCTCCTGTGGATCATGTCCCTGGTCTGATCTTTCTCTCACGGATTGGAAACAGTTCTCAGCGATCAGCGGCTGTTTTGGGCGCTTTGGAGGCATGGCCGGGGCCGCGTGTGAGGGCAATGGCATGTCAGGTCTGTGTTTAACTTTTTTTTTTTTTTTTAAGTTTTACAAAGTGTGCTCTTTACCTGCTTCAACCATGGATCTATAATGATAAAAACTTCTTCAACAAGTTTAATGTTCCTTGTGTGACAGAAGCCAAGTTTGTTTTAGAGACTTACAATAATATTTTTTTTTTCTCTTTATTTGAAAACATAGGGAGTATATTTTTTTATTTTTTTTATTTTTTTTAATTAATTAATAAAAAAAAAAAATACTTACAATAATATACATGCTATATTATATACTATCATTTCCAATAATACGTTTACCATATATCATGTTTTTAAAATGCGGGTAAGAATGAAATTGAAAGAAAACCCCAGGCTTTGTATGACTCCTGTTTTTAAAAGTTTCCTTTCGTTTTTGACACTTTAAGGCAAGGCAAATTTATCTGTATAGCGCACGAAAGACATAAGGCAACTCTAAGGGCTTAACAAAATAAAAAAAGAAACAATCACACAAGGCACTAACATCACAAATAGATAAATAATACCATAATTATAAATAAATAATCACAGTGCAATAAAAGTAGTGAAGAGAAAATCATTCAGTTTTCTGCACAGCTAAACAGAAATGTGTTTACCCTGGATTTAAATATTGTCAGAGAAAGAGTCTGTCTTGCATTTTCAGGAAGACCAACGGACTAATTATATTTAGATAGATAGATACTTTATTGATCCCCGGGGGAGAAACTCAGGTGTCCAGCAGCAGCAGGAACACATCCTCACAGTTTAATTCCCGTTTGAGCATTATTTGGGAAACTCTGCTGAGCTCCAGTGAAACTCAAGCTGTTTCCCACGAACAGGAAGTGAGGTGGGGTTGTAGCTAAAACGCAGAAGTGGTGCGTGCATAGAGCCCATTAATGCCTTTTAACAGATTATGGCCATTTAATGACGGCTTGACATGAAAATCTTACATATTACTGCTTTTAAATGTATATTGCATTATATAGTGTATTATTAATGCTATACATACATCAATAAATAAAGGACTAGACGAGAACAAAAAGTGAGTGCCTAACATAAATTCTGTTTTAGCTTTGTTGTAAGTGTGTTGTAGCTGTAGCAAGTTTATTTGTATAGCACAACTTACACACAAGACAATGCAAACTAATTAACAAAACTATAAAAGAAACACCTAAAATTATCAATAATCACAGTAAGATAAAGAGTGAAGATTCAATCCTTCAGTTGTTGCAGCTAAACTGTTTCAGTCTGGATTTGAATGACTCGTATCAAAAGAGAAGCAAACAGTGATCCCAGTGTTTCCCACTGTATACAGTGGGGCAAAAAAGTATTTAGTCAGCCACCGATTGTGTAAGTTCTCCCACTTAAAATAATGACAGAGGTCTGTAATTTTCATCATAGGTTCACTTCAACTAAATTATGGTGGAAAATAAGTATTTGGTCAATAACAAAAATTCAACTCAATACTTGGTAATATAACCTTTGTTGGCAATAACAGAGGTCAAACAATTACTATAGGTCTTTACCAGGTTTGCACACACAGTAGCTGGTATTTTGGCCCATTCCTCCATGCAGATCTTCTAGAGAGCAGTGATGTTTTGGGACTGTCGCCGAGCAACACAGACTTTCAACTCCCTCCACAGATTTTCAATGGGGTTGAGGTCTGGAGACTCGCTAGGCCACTCCAGGACTTTCAAACGCTTCTTACGGAGCCACTCCTTCGTTGCCCGGGCGGGGTGTTTGGGATCATTGTCATGCTGGAAGACCCAGCCACGTTTCATCTTCAAAGCTCTCACTGATGGAAGGAGGTTTTGGCTCAAAATCTCACGATACATGGCCCCATTCATTCTTTCCTTAACACGGATCAGCCGTCCTGTCCCCTTAGCAGAAAAACAGCCCCAAAGCATGACGTTTCCACCCCCATGCTTCACAGTAGGTATGGTGTTCTTGGGATGCAACTCAGTATTCTTCTTCCTCCAAACACGACGAGTTGAGTTTACACCAAACAGTTCTACTTTGGTTTCATCTGACCACATGACATTCTCCCAATCCTCTGCTGTATCATCCATGTGCTCTCTGGCAAACTTCAGACGGGCCTGGACATGCACTGGCTTCAGCAGGGGGACACGTCTGGCACTGCAGGATTTGATTCCCTGTCGTCGTAGTGTGTTACTGATGGTGACCTTTGTTACTTTGGTCCCAGCTCTCTGCAGGTCATTCACCAGGTCCCCCCATGGTTCTGGGATTTTTGATCACCGTTCTCATTAGAGCTGCAACTAACGATTATTTTGTAATCGATTAATCTATCGATTATTTTTACGAATAATCGAGTAATCGCTTGGCTGTGAATTGTGTAGAAAAAAAAAAATGTCATCACAAAAAGCTAAAGTGGCAACACTCGAGGACGTATTGATGGCGTAAACTTAAAGTAAATGTTTGTAACAGGCTCTTTGTGCTAATTCTGCTCTGATTGGATGAAACAGACAGATATATGAAATTATAAAAACAAAGTCGGTTTTAATCAAAAATACTACATTTTCATGTCATTTTTGCTCTGTTTGAGTCCGTGTGAACCAGAAAACGATTAATCGATTACTAAAATAGTTGTCTACTATTTCAATAATCGATTAGTTGTCGATTAATCGATTAGTTGTTTCAGCCCTACTTCTCATGATCATTTTGACCCCACGGGATGAGATCTTGCGTGGAGCCCCATATCAAGGGAGATTATCAGTGGTCTTGTATGTCTTCCTTTTTCTGATAATTGCTCCCACAGTTGATTTGTTCACACCAAGCTGCTTGCCTATTGTAGATTCACTCTTCCCAGTCTGGTGCAGGTCTACAATTATTTTCCTGGTGTCCTTCGACAGCTCTTTGGTCTTGGCCATAGTGGAGTTTGGAGTCTGACTGTTTGAGGCTGTGGACAGGTGTCTTTTATACAGATAACCAGTTCAAACAGGTGCCATTAATACAGGTAACGAGTGGAGGACAGAAGAGCTTCTTAAAGAAGAAGTTACAGGTCTGTGAGAGCCAGAGATCTTCCTTGTTTGAAGTGACCAAATACTTATTTTCCTCCATAATTTACAATAAATTCTTTAAAAAACCTACAATGTGAATTCCTGGATTTTTTTTCATTCTGTCTCTCACAGTTGAAGTGTACCTATGATGAATATTACAGACCTCTGTGCAAGTGCTCCCACTTAATCATGCTCCCAAAATATTTGAGCAAGACCGCGTTGAATCAGAGCAGAAACCATAGCGAAGCGAGTGCAGTTCATGGATCTATTATAATTTAACTGGATAGGGTATTACTAGCTTGGATCTGAAGAACCCATGTGCTCACGGGATTCTCGAGGTACTGCAGGCTAAATCAGACTAAATTTGAGTCGGCTGCCCAGAAACTTTCCCCATAGAACTCAATGTAAACTAAAACAGCTCGACCTCAGCTGACAGAGAACCTACAGCTTTCATAAAGGTCAGATTATGTGGGAATTTTAGGGCACAGTCACATAGGATTTTACAAACGAACCAGGCCAAGTGGCCCGGATCGTCCCCACAGGGGTGTGAAGCACGGTCCGCGGTCACAAGGGCTTGTTCTTTTAACCGTGCCAGAGTAACTGTGCTGTAGTACAACGCTCGGTCCAGCTGGCGGTGCTAATACTAACTTCAGCAACTACCTCATTGTCAAGAGTTAAGTTTCCGATTGTCTTCCCGTTTACATTCTGCTACTGTGCGCTAACAGCTCGAGCATGGAATGTGTTCTTTGTATCAGAGCAGTGTGTACAAGTGTGAGACGTGTATTTCTCCAAACTGCAGCAGCTCAGTGGGACACGTGTGTGCGTGCGCCGCGGACACGGGACTGCGCCTCTTTAGTAACGAGCGTAAGGGCATTGAGAAATGAATGAGTGAGAATTAAAGAATAAAAAGTGTTGAGTACGAGCAGAGCGACATGAGCCAGGCAAGATACAAGTGTGTGTGTGTGTGTGTGTGTTAGGGCTGGGCAATATAAACGGTATAAGCGGTATGTGATAAAAATGTTACCAACAATAGAGATTTTTGTTATACCGGTGTCATCAAATTATGCAGGCTCTGACGGCAGCAGAAAGCACCAAAACAACCGGCATTCAGTAGCATTAGCCTAGCACTATTAGCCTAGCTAAAACCACTGGAAACAGCAAACAACAGCGCGGCATTAACACCGTGTTTCTGTCTCTGTATTGTGTCACAGCGGCCCCAGCAGTTTAAGCGTCTACCTTTCGGCCAATTAGTGTCAAAGGGGCGTATGTTGAAAAGCGCCAGCGTGGGTCGTGCTCGCAGCATCATCACAGTCAGCAGAAGTTTGGTTACACACCCCCCTCCGCCCCTCGACCACGGTCCAGGGCTTATATTAAAGGTTTAACACAAGCTGAGAATACGAAAGTGCAGAGACGTGTGAAAATGCCCGTCACAACGGAAGACGTACAGTAGTGTGACGCACAAGACCCCACCACACTTTTTTATATAATATATATATATATATTAAATTAATAAAATTATATAATTCACTATGTTGACGCCGATACTTTCACTCTTTCTTGACCACTGATCTGATCAGTCAGCATCAGCCCTGAATATTGTTCTGCTGCTTTGATCTGTACTTTTACTTGTGCCGATAATATTCCTCTCTCCATATATCGCCCGTGCTCCTCTGCTTGTGAAAAACATGTTGTTTTTGTGTGTGCAGATGAGCGGATCGGCGAGGCTGTGATCAAAGAGTAAGTACAGCTGCTGCGTCACAATCTTAGCTGTGTTTTATAAAACCACAGATGGGGAAGTTTGCTTAACTGAAGCCCAGAGAAGACGACGATGACAATGATGATGCAGTAGTTTCACACGACGCTTCTCAGGAGGCTTCACATGTCACCTTTCATTCACTACATGAACACAGTGGTGTTAAAGTACTACTGTAGCCACAGCTGCCCTGGGCTACTGTAGTACACAGTGCAAAGTGTTAAGTCCTCTGAGATGACTTCTGTTGTGACTTAGGGCTATACAAGAATACATTGTATTGTATTGTATTGTCACACTGCTAACATTTATTATGCTAAAGTTAGAGATGTTATACTTCTTATTATGCTCTTTTTAAGTGGGAGGACTTGCACAATTGGTGGCTGACTAAATACTTGATAGGAATACATTATATTAAGAAGGCTTGTTTTTGAGTGAAAAACATGTGATCTTAGCCTGAAACCATAGAATGCATGAAACCCAGGAGACCATTGTTGATCTGTCTTGAAGTCTTACTGATAATTTACACAGGACGCGTTACAGCATGTACGAGTTATACGTGCAGCAGACGCGCGTAACTTTTTTCCATGTAAGCCAACGGTGATATGTACACTACTAGTGTTATACTCACGGATGACGGACGTATTGACGCGAGGCTGCGCCTAATTTAGGATGGATTTCTAATTTTGTGCGCGCAGCAACGCGTTTCCCATTGAAATCCCATGTAAATCATACTTTTTCTAGCGGTCTTTGGCTTTAGATCGCATCTACACACACACATCACTTGTATACCATATTCGAATTTCATTGTTTTATAAAATTAAAATGTGAATATATATATATTCGAAAATGTATTATTATTTTGACCAGTAAATGCCAGTTTTGTCCACCAGAGGGCAGTGCATGCTGGTAATCAATTCTGTTTATGCTGTTACGCTGTTTACGTTTGACAGAATCGCTGTCAACCCATAGATCTCTCTGTCAATCCCAGTTAAATTAAGTGTTTATTTGGAGATCTTTAAGATACAAAATCAATCATACGAAAGAGAATCACAGAAATGAAAATTGTCCAAAAGGGAGTTGGGCCTACCCCTGTTACAAAACTGCCATTACCGATATAATGCTTATATCAACTCATTGAATGAGAAAGTGTGTCCAAACTAATATATATATTTTATATATATATATATAATTTTATTTCTTTCAGAGTATCTGAAGCAAATTCACACAAAGATCATGCCAGTTTAATATTTGAACTTGAAGGGCTGTCTAAAACTTGTTTGAATGTCTTTATTGTTAATATTTGAATTATGTTCAAATATCGAATTCGGTTTACCCAGCCCTATTGTGTGTTCAGAGTGTTCGAGGAGGAGCTGAAGGACGTGCCCTCGGAGGATTTCCCGCCCCTCACCCCTCTGACCTCAGAGCTCCATTCGGCTCAGGAGCAGAAGATTGTGACGGAACTGGCCAAGATGATCCGCATCGTCGGGGACAGCGTCAGGGACAACCGGCAGCTGGATGAGTGAGTGTGCCCCTGTCTCTGTGGGACCGGCCACCGTCTCTCTGTGGGACCGGGCCACGAAGGGACGTGCCCTTGGCCAAATAAAGGCAATTCACCTACCGGCTGCTGAACATGGACATCAACATGGTCCGGTGCAGGACTGAAGCCCTCCCAGGCGGGTCGGGCAGGGCAGTCTGCAGGTGTAGATGGAGGAGGCCAGGTTCAAAGGTCCCGTCGTACCATGAAACAGACAGTGGGACAACTGGTGAATAGCAATGAACAAACTACAGTCAAAATCCTAAAAATGCTAAACAGATAAAGTAGGAAGGAGGAGAGGATAGTGCTCAAGTTACCATACTTCTCCAGCAGGGGGCTCCCTATGCAGCTTGACTGACAGTCTGAGGGGTTTAGCCTTCCCTGAGTCTTACCTTCGTAGCCATATGCTAAACTAAAGAGAACTGCTTTTGCCTAGCCTAGAACTTAGGGTTGAAGATGCAGCGGGCCGGGTCCCATACACGCAGACTCCAAGACCGGACGAGACCTGATCGGACAAACAACTTAACCAAATGCTGAGAGTATTTTAAGCCTGGCCTTAAACGTAGAGACCGTGTCTGCTTCCTTAACATGCGTGGGGAGCTGATTCCACAGTAAAGGAGCTTGGTAACTTAATGCTCTGCCACCGACAGTGCTTTTTAAAACCTTAGGGACCACCAGTCGTCTGGCGTTTTGTGAGCGCAGTTCTTGGCTTGGTTGATAAGACATTAGCATGTCTTGAAGATTTATTTATCTGTTTATTCCAAAAACAGTGGAGTGATTTTAACACCAGAGTTATGTGCTCCCTCCTTTTGGTGCCTGTTAAGATCCTTGCTTTATATAGAATTAAAAATTTGACACAGTAGTTATAGGTACATTTCTAACTATATCTCATGGCAAACTTTGTGGTACCATTATTTTTATTAGGACACAATTACAGTTTATATTGCAACAGGTTGGGTGTCTGCAACCATGTGGCATCTGTTTATTAATGTAAAACACAATGTATTTAGTGTTGATGACTCTGAATTTGGTCCATCCTTTATTACTGTTAGAAGTCATGATCGCCGTAGTAACGGGTTGATGGTCGGCTTGGTCAGGGCCGGAGCAGGAGGATTTTTTTCCTCATGTACCGGATTTTAGGGGTTGGGGAAACTGAAGGGAGGACATACTGTGTAGAAAACGGCCAGATTCCTAATGCCCCAGATGTTCATAAAGAGAGTAGTGCGGGGAAAAAATATTATTGGATTGTGGTCCAGAATCTGTGTATGTATTTTCTATCTGTTGTTGCAAGAGAGTTCCATGTTCAGCTTCTTGTATTATGGGTTTGTCTGGGCAGCGTCTGACTGTGCTTTGTCCTCGTCACCTTCAGTGCTATTGATGGGATGAGGCGCACTCCTGGTTCCAAGTGGGACATGTTCCAGAAGGTGGCAGACAATGTTTTTCAGGATGGCATCACCTGGGAGCGCATTGCCGTGCTCTTCTACGTGGCGGGACGGCTGGCTGTCAAGGTAGGCCCCCGCTGGGTTCATCTGTGTGTGTGTGAATGGTTGGTGGTGGTCGGAGGGGCCGATGGCGCATACTGGTTGCCTCGCTTCTGTCAGTGTGCCCCAGGGCAGCTGTGGCTACATTAGTAGTTTATCACCACCGTGTATGGAGTGAAAGAATAATGACACATGTGAAGCGTCTTTGAGTGTCAAAAAAAGCGCTATATAAAATCGATGCATTATTATTATTATTATCTGTAAATCACACTATTCATTAAGCCTGGGTTTTTTTTTTTTTCTTCCTACATTTGTGAGTTTTTTTCTGGGTCAATATGCAGTTGTTTTATTGAACCAAGAACACTGATGTAGGAGACACGTTTGGGCACTGTGTGAATGAATGGGTGTTTTTGGAGGAGTGATGTATTGTGTGTGTGTGTGTGTGTGTGTGTGTGTGTGTGTGTGTGTGTGTGTGTGTTACACGAAATTATGAATGAGCATACACCTGCGGGGGCACGGAAAGGGGAGAGAGAGGTCTGTTTGGGAGGCCATAATTTTTGTCGACCGCTATTATAGTTTGTTTGATTTATTTTTGCTATTTTCTCTGGCTTAAGTTTATTCAGTATTTTTTTTCTGTATAATCACCACGCATTTTTTAGCCTGTGACCGCTGCGTTTATTATTAATTAAATCAATGTCATCGCAACTGAATCCAGCCTTCGTTTGTTTTACTAATTCAGCGCGTCATACAATTTTACCAGATGTTTAGGCAACAGGCAGCCGCTATAACTGACCTGCAGTAACATTTACAGCTAGAAAAAAAAGCAAGAAAACTAACGATTGTATCAGAACTTCTTAGGACTTGCTGCCGTTTCCTGCTCGTTCAAAAGTGTTGTGTGTGTGTGTGCGTGTGTGTGTGTGTGTGTGTGTGTGTGTGTGTGTGTGTGTGTGTGTGTGTGTGTGTGTGTGTGTGTGTGTGTGTGTGTGTGTGTGTGTGTGTGTAGCTTGTGGAGGCCCATCTTCCTCAGAGTGTGCGGGAGATCCTGCAGTGGACCGTGGACTTCTTCAGGACCAACTTGCTGGGCTGGATCCGGGAGCACGGAGGATGGGTGTGTGTCTCCTCCTCTTAACGTTACGGTTGGGGTCAGGGTTAAGAATACGGGAACGGTAGTAGTAGTAGTAAGTAATCTTTATTTATATACCGCCTTTTCACTGCACATTGGAGTCTCAAAGCGGTTTACAATTGTTATTTTTGGGAGCGGGGTCGCCAGTACAGGAGGCACATGCCAGACCTATTGTACATATTTTTAGTGGTAGGGGAAACCGGAGCACCCGGAGGAAACCTACGCAGACACGGGGAGAACATGCAATCTCCACTCAGAAAGGCCCTGGTCCAACCGGGATTCGAACCCAGGACCTTCTTGCTGAGAGGCGAGAGTGCTATCCACTCAGCCACCGTGCCACCCGTAAGGGTTAAGAGTCCAGGATTACTCACTCACTCACTCACTCACTCACTCACTCACTCACTCACTCACTCACTCACTCACTCACTCACTCACTCACTCACTCACTCACTCACTCACTCACTCACTCACTCACTCACTCACTCACTCACTCACTCACTCACTCACTCACTCACTCACTTACTCAGGAAAGGTTAGCGGTGATCCTGGACTGTTCATTACGTGATATCAGATAGTGCCAGTTATTAATAAGATATTCATTTATTGGTTCCACAGTGGGGAGATTTCAGTGTCACATTACAGCAGAGAAAGAAGGGAAAAAAAGACTCGGACGCACACATCAAACAAGGCCTTTTATTTAAGATAATAGACAATAGAATCAAAATGAGATGAGATGGTTAAATAGAATAAAAAAAAAAAAGAAGCTATAAGTGCACGTGGTTCAGAAGTATATACAGATGCGTATAATGTACTTTAGCAGCAGAGAATATGAGCAGAATACACATCAGTAACAATATCAACAGGTCAAGTAATAAAGTTACAAGTGAATTATTATCAGTGACACTTGTGCAGACTCAGCAGTTCTCGTTACACATTCTCGTTGTACAGTCTGACAGCAGCGGGGAGGAAGGACCTGCGTAACCTGTCCGTCACACAGTGAGGGTGAATTAGTCGGTCACTGAAACTGAAACTTTTTTTTTATTCTTCCCCCTTCTGTCATTGTCCGTATCCAAACATTACAAATATGAAAATAATAGATTAGATTTTGAGAAAGCTGGAGACAAATCACATTTGATGGTGGTTTTATTAAAATACTTTTTCATGCCACTGTATTTCTCACTACGTGTGAGAAATGTGGCGGCACGGTGGCTGAGTGGATAGCACTCTCGCCTCTCAGCAAGAAGGTCCTGGGTTCGAATCACGGTAGGACCAGGGCCTTTCTGAGTGGAGTTTGCATGTTCTCCCCGTGTCTGCGTAGGTTTCCTCCGGGTACTCCGGTTTCCCCTACCACTAAAAATATGTCCAATAGTTCTGGCATGCGCCTCCTGTACTGGCCCCGCTCCCATCTCTGTGTGGAGTGAGAGACAAGTGCCCAAAATTAACAATTGTAAACCGCTTTGAGACTCAGATCTGCAGTGAAAAGGCGGTATATAAATAAAAAAACTTACTTACATGTGTGTGTGTGTGTGTCTCTTGTGTGTTGCAGATCAGCAGCTTCCCGGCGCTGGCGTCCGCCTCCATGCGCTCCGTGGGCTCCGTGGGCTGGGGTGTCTACGGTGTCCTGATCTTCATTGCCGGTCTGGCTCTGGGCAGTCTGTTCACTGCCAGACTGCTGTCCCGGACTTGACCCCTGACCCCAGACTCAGGACTATTCTCAACTACTCTCCATGTTTACGTGAGCCTCGTCACAGGACCCTCTGTTATCAGTGATTTCACAAATCTTTTCTTGTCTCATGCAATGATACATAATTTCAAGACCTTTCCAAAACCTTCATTTGAAGGAGCTATACCCGTTTCTGTAAGGTTTTGAATGTTTCCCCTACGCTCTCATCTAGTTTTATTTGCGATCTGATACGTATGCTAACATTAGCATGAGCGCAACTTCTTGTAAGCTGTACAACAATCACTGATGAAAAGTAACGCACTGCTAACAAAAATATATAACTGAAGGATTACTGCAAGTTTCACGTCGGAATGTAGTCCTACCATAGATAGTCCCGCAGGTCTCTCCAGAGGATACGATGTAAGCTAGCTATGTTCACCCGGGCTTGATAATGATTTCTTCTTTGATCATGTTCATCGCTTTAGTTCCCTCTTCTCTTCCTCACTATTGTGTGGTTTGGGCTGTTTTGCTGTGTCTGCAGTTACAGCCAGAGGAGTTATAGCCACTTATGCTAACATGCCACTGTGTTTAGCAGCGCTGTAGAGGCTAGAGGACGCAGCCTCGCTCTGTGATTGGAGGAGAGCGGGCGTCACGCTAAAGTCTCTACTCAGCACTTTTTAAAACGGCCTGAATTCATACACAGCTGAATCAATGACCTCAAGTTTTATAATACAACTTGTAAGTAATAATAAGCATTTATATGAACAAAAGTGGGGTATAGCTTCTTTAATGTATAGATCTGGCTCTAAATCATAGTTGATGTGAAATCATTAATTCACAAGAAAAGTGACCGTTTGACAGCCCCTAATTTATACACACACTCACACACACACACACACACTCACACACACACACAAGTCACGTTTCACTCACTCACACACTCACTCACACAAGTCACGTTTCACACACACACACACACACACACGCACGCGCACACGCACGCGCACACGCACGCGCACACGCACGCGCACACGCACGCGCACGCGCACGCGCACACGCACGCGCACACGCACGCGCACACGCACGTCACGTTTCCACCGCAGGAACTTCAGGGTATTTTCCAGGGCCAGTCCCGTCGGTGCCTGTCTCCACTGCAGGAACTTCCACCACAGGAACATTTACTGGAACTTTTACGGAGCCCTTGGGCCCTGAACAGCTCATGGTGGGACTTTAGGTTAACCCAGCGCTGATTGGCTAGACCAGGCTCTGACGCCAGCAGAAAGCACCAACACAAACAGCATTTTAAAAATCCAGCAGAACTAGCCTAGCATTATAGTGGACACCACAACAACAGCTTGATGAACGATAGATGGATGGATAATGAAGTGCAGGCATTGATTCAGTCGAGGTTTGTGGCATCACAGTGAAGTGAAAAGATTTATTAAGACGATGGATTTATTATGGATAGATCCTCGACGCACTGGGGATTCATCACACTCCAAAACAATGCAGTGAATGAAAACAAACCACAAAAACCAGAGAGGCTCCGACCGTAAAATAAATAAATTTGTTTTTGGCGTATTGAGTTTCGTGGTTTCTCTTATGCATCAGTTGAAACTCATGGCGTCGCCGAGTGGTCCTTCTCTGCAGTGGAGACACGGCCCCTGAGAGGACCACTGTAGAAGTTCCACGCCCCCCCCTCCTTTTACCAGGAACTCCTGCGGCGGAAACGCGACTATACTGATAGTTTTTTATGGGGAGAGTCAAAGATGAACGCCTCCCCCTCAGACACTCCCCCAGCTCTGTGGAAACAACAATGAAAATCTCCCTCCAGAATCAAGAAATGACTTCATATCATTTTAACAGTTGTCAAAGTCGAAGTGTGATAATATTAGTGTTCTAGTCGTTTTGTTTTTTTTGAAAGGCGGGACATTCACAGCGGTCAGTCCACTCAGGTACAAGGTGCTTCACTCTTTTTCCAAAAAATGTTTCCAAAAGTTTACAATTTGAGTGAAAGATTTTGATTTATTTAAAAACACATTATTGACCACTGGGACATCATGAGTAAACCGGTAAGACGTGCCTCTGTAATCACGAGTGTTGTATTTATTATGAAGCATGCGGTGGAAAAGTAGTAGTTTGTACCAAAATGACGCACGGATTTGTTATGGCGGTTTCTATGGCGACGTGTTTGTAATGAAACAAATAAAGTCATGTACTGATCCTCTTTGTCCACCAGGTGTCCTCGTTCTCACACAGCACAACCTCACCAGCCTTTCACACATCAGAAAAACATCAGTGCCGCAGCTTTCTCACAGAAATGAAGATTAAGAGAGTATTTATTGGTCCCACCGCGGGGAAATGTCAGTGTTGCATCAGCGGGTACAGTAGGAGTGAGGAGCACACAGCATAAGATCAATGAACAATAAGTCTAGAGAAATAAAATACAATCTCTAACTTTAGTATAATAAAGAAGCAAGTCTAAAACATATGTACATGTTGGCAGCATGAGGGAATGGACCAAGTAAAGTGACGGCTGACGTGTGGTTTCATGTTGCATGTTCTGATACTTTCAAATTAGAAATAGTTAAAAACAAAGAAATTAAGAATATTACTTTTTTTTGCCATGCGACGAACAAAAGCATTGACCTAAAGCACCAGATCAGACACAAACGGCCCGCTTCAGTTTCTGCCAGGGCACTCATACGCTCTCTTGGAGTTTGGACGAGCTCTGATTAGAGCCGCTGATCCTCCAAATCCTTACCGTAGAGAAGAGCAGCACACTCGGCTGGTCTGGGAACACTCAGGATTCCCCTGGAGCAGGTTTGTCTGATCAAGTGAAACACAGAACCTTATGAGGAAGAAGAGGACAATTTCATCATTTTGGGAAGGTCTCAGAAAACAGAATAGTATGTAATAAAATGGGATTTATTGTGCGTTTCAGTGGATTTCTGCGTCGTCTTTACGCACTGACGTGAAGAGACACTACAGAACTATAACAACTGAACAGACCTAAAAGTGACACTGCTGCAGAAAATGTAAACGTCATTGTTTCACACGGTCCAGGATTGCTTTGATCTTCAGAACCGTAGTGTGGCCTTAACCTCTGACCCCATAACCCCCGAATCTAACCCCAACTCCTAATACTCCGTGTGACCTAAAGGGCTGTTGCTGATTATTACTATTTACACAATACGATACGATACAATTTATTCTTGTATAGCCCTAGGTCACAGCAGAAGTCATCTCAGAGGACTTAACAAAACCATTGAAATCACCAACACAGGTCAGAGAATCAACAGTTAAAACACATGAAGAATATAAAGCACACACAGAAGAAAATGTCCATACATGTTGTAGAATGCTAAAGTGTCCTGATCATCACCAATCCTTTCTGTTGGACACTAACTGTCCAACAAGACCCTCCTGCATCGACAAGGAACAACTCTTAAAAAACCCAGTGGGAAAAACTTGGGGAGAACTAGGGAAACCCACAGGGAGGGAGACCCATTTGAGAAAGGGATCCGCTCCTCCGGACGGACAGGCTAATGATCCAGGACCTAAGCTAGCTACAGAACGTGGACCAGTGGCCGCTGAACGTGGACAGGTCCGGTGCAGGACTGAAGCACTCCCAGGCGGGTCGGGCGGGGCAGTCCGCAGGTGTAGATGGAAGAGGCCAGGCTCAGAGATCCCGTCATCGTACCATGAAACAGACAATGGGACAACGGGTGAATAGCAATGAACAAACTACAGTCAAAATACTAATAATACTAAACAGATAAAGTAGGAAGGAGGAGAGGATAGTGCTCAAGTTACCATACTTCTCCAGCAGGGGGCTCCCTATGCAGCTTGACTGACAGTGAGGAGTTTAGCCTTCCCTGAGTCTTACCTTCCTAGCCATATACTAAACTAAAGAGGACTGTTTTAAACCTAGCCTTGAATAAAGAGATTCATGGATTGCACACCAGGTGTGCAAACCGATCCAGGCAAACCTAATTATATATTATATATATTATATATATTATATATAGTAGATATAATACATAACATAACATACAGCATCATATATAACATCATATACAACATAACACAATACACAACATAATACATATATTGTCTAATATATAACATAATATATAACATAATACAGAATATATATATATAATATATACACCATATATTATATATTACCTAATTATATGCTAAATTAAAGCAGAGTGCTTTAAGCCTGGCCTTGAATGTGGAGACCGTATCTGCTTCCTTAACATAAATGAAGCTGATTCCACAGTAAAGGAGCTTGGAGCTAAATGCTCTGCCGCCAACAGTGACCTTTGAGACCTTAGGGACCACCAGACGTCTGGCAGATTAGATTATTACTATTATGTTTTTAGAATCAATTTCATTTTTATTTTTGCGGTTACTGGACACCTGAATTTCTCCAACGGGGATCAATGAAGTATATATCAATCAATCAGGTCATATTTATTTCGATTCAATTTATTTGGAAAGAGCACAAGCTCATGGGGGAGACACCGACGAGAGCGGGTCGGGAGGTAGGATGGACGCTTCATCTGATGTTTATCGCGGCGAGGCGGCGGTGGTCACTCTCACTGCCCCATCTCTGATCCCCGTGTTGGAGGCTACAACAGCTTCCTGCACTGACGATATGGTGAATAAAAACTGCCTGGACACAAAGAAGTGCAGCATGTCATAGTGGTCTGTTAGATAAATTGCCAGGCTCCAATCCGAGTGAGACCTATGTTTTGGATTAAACTATAGATATTGTATTCTATGACAGATTGCACAATCCGCGTCTTGCAGATTAAAGCAAAAAACGGCTTCATATATAGACTATATAAACACCGAGGGCGAAATGAAAGATTAGATTTTGACGGATTACAAAATCTGGTTATGTGGTCGGTATCGGGGGCCCCAAGGACTCTGTTGCCTGGGGCCCCGGGGTATCATTACTTGGGGTATTTGTACTTGACCAAAAACGTACTTTAATTATTATTATTATTATT